GGACCTGCAGTTGGTTGGATTTGGGGATGTGGAGCCCATGATGATGGAGGGCCAGCTGCATTATTTGAGGTTTTCACAGTGCTTCTCTATGCATGTGTAACACATGTATGTTCAGTCGCTTCAGTCATGTCCAAATCTTTTGCGACCCCCAGGCTCTGCTGTCCATGGAATTTTCCAGGCCAGAATACTGGAGTTGGGTTGCCATTTCTTCCTCCAGGGAATCCTCCCAACCCAGGGATCTAACCCACCTCTCCTGCAGCTCCTGCATTGGCAGGTGGATTCTTTACCACTGGGCCACCTGGGAAGCATATTACACATATGTGTGTTCTTTAAGTAGTAATAAAAGCCATGTTAAAACATATCTAATAAATATGGACAATTTAGACTCTCACTTCAAAAGGATCATCTGCTAAAGAAAGGCATCTTAAAATGCAAATCAAAACCACAATGAGGTACCGTTACACGCCAGTCAGGATGGCTGCTATCTAAAAGTCTACAAGCAAGAAATGCTGGAGAGGGTGTGGAGAAAAGGGAACCCTCTTACACTGTTGGTGGGAATGCAAATTAGTACAGCCACTATGGAAAACAGTGTGGAGATTTCTTAAAAAGCTGGAAATAGAACTGCCATATGACCCAGCAATCCCACTTCTGGGCATACACACCGAGGAAACCAGATCTGAAAGAGACACGTGCACCCCAATGTTCATCGCAGCACTGTTTATAATAGCCAGGACATGGAAGCAACCTAGATGCCCATCAGCAGACGAATGGATGAGGAAGCTGTGGTACATATACACCATGGAATATTACTCAGCCATTAAAAAGAATTCATTTGAATCAGTTCTAATGAGATGGATGAAACTGGAGCCCATTATACAGAGTGAAGTAAGCCAGAAAGATAAAGACCATTACAGTATACTAACACATATATATGGAATTTAGAAAGATGGTAACGATAACCCTATATGCAAAACAGAAAAAGAGACACAGATGTACAGAACAGACTTTTGGACTCTGTGGGAGAAGGCGAGGGTGGGATGTTCTGAGAGAATAGCATTGAAACAAGTATACTATCAAGGGTGAAACAGATCACCAGCCCAGGTTGGATGCATGAGACAAGTGCTCAGGGCTGGTGCACTGGGAAGACCCAGAGGGATGGGATGGGGAGGGAGGTGGGAGGGGGGATCAGGATGGGGAACACATGTAAATCCATGGCTGATTCATGTCAATGTATGGCAAAAACCACTACAATATTGTAAAGTAATTAGCCTCCAACTAATAAAAATAAATGAAAAAAAACTTAATCAGTTAAAAAAAAAAAAAGAAAGGCATCTTAGAAGGAGAAAAGGACCATCTATTTTATAGAATAGAGGCTCAATTCCTCGGGGCATATCCTGTGGCAATGTATAGAATGCCACTCAGAATTGTCTCTCTGAAGGATGGAGGCTGGGTGTTTACCCACTGACTTTAGCGTTAAAAAAATCTATTTATATTTGGCTGTGCTGGGTCTTTGTTGCTGCCCAGGCTCTCTCTAGCTGTGGTCCGTGGGCTTCTCATTGTGGTAGCTTCTCTTGTTGAGGAGCACAGGCTCTAGGGTGCACGGGCTTCAGTAATTGTGGTTCCCAGCTCTAGAGCCCAGGCTGAATAGCTGTGGTGCATTAGTTGGTGGTGCATTAGCAACTATTAGGCTTAGTTGCTCCACAGCGTGTGGGATCTTCCTGGACCAGGGGTTGAACCAGTCTCCTGCAGTGGCAGGCGGATTCTTTATCACTGAGCCACCAGGGAAGCCCTACCCATTGACTTTTGTCCCCTGTTGGTTGAGGGTTGTCCCCAAAGGTGTTAATTTCCTCTGTGCCTCCCTGATAGTGGGCAAGAAAGCAGGGAATGGTTCTGGGGCTTGAGGTGGGAAGCTGGCAATGTGCAGGGGGACTGCCCACTGTGAGGGCAGCTGGCATCAGCCGAGGGTCCAGGGGAACATAACAGGGCACAAAAGCATCTTCCATAGAGAGGAGGCCCCTGGAGCCCCAGATAGGAAAGATCTCCAGAATTGGAGGAGCCCTGCTGAGGATATATCTGAAGGAAAAGAAATCATATCTTGAAGAGATATCAGCACTGCCATGTTCACTGCAGCAGTATTCACAATCGCTAAGACATGGAAATAACCTACATATCTCTCAATGGATGAATGGATACAGATCTCTCAATGGATGAATGGATACAGAAAATGCATACATGCATACGACGCAATATTATTCAGCCACAAAAGAAAGAAGGAAATCCTGCCATTTGCAACAAACATGGATAAACCTGGAGGACATTAAGCTAAGTGAGATAATCCAGACAGAGAAAGACAAATACTGTGTAGTATCACTTGTATGTAGACTCTTAAAAAAAAAAAAGACTTTCAGCTATAAAATAAATAAGTTCTGAGGATCTAATGTACAGCATGGTGACTGTACTTAGTAATACTGTATAGCTTACTTGAAATTTGCAAAAACAGTAGATCTTAAGCGTTCTTACTACACACAGGAAAAGGTCTGTGAAGGAGTGGATGTGTTAACTAACTATGGTGAACATTTCACAGTCTATGCATGTATCAAATCATCATGTTCAATAATTTAAATATACACAGTTGTTGTTTTTTGTTAGTTATACCTCAGTAAAGCTGGGGAAACAATGGGAAAAAAGGAAGAAAAAGAAAGAATTCTTAGGGCTTCTAGGCAGGGAGCCAGTCTAATCTTAGATTTCTCCACAGCATCATCTGATGTTAGAAAACTGTCGAGCAGGACCTACAAGCTATTCCAAGACAGTAACTGAGCAGTGTTTTATATCTTGCCAAACTTTCTTTCAGGTACAAATGCAATAGAAAAATAGTTATGAACATGCAAGAACCCAGAGACTATTATTCCCATGAGTACTTTTGAGAAAATTACGGAGTTTTAACTTCAATCAACCAAGAAATAATGAAAAACTAGGGCAAAGGGGACAGGAATATGCAGAGTATACCTAACTGAAGAACTAAGACCAAACAAATGTGAATATTGGAGTAATAGAGGAGAAGGGACATGTTTTATATCCTAACAGTACAGAAATGACATAAATATAAAACTTTGGAAGGTGAATGAAGGAAAAGGTGAGAGAAAGAATAAACATGCTATTCATGAGTAATAACTGGGGGCCAGAGACTGTCATTTAAAGCTGACAAAATATAGTAGAAACGTAAGCATTTGTAATTGTACAAAGGCAAACATTTAAAAAGATAATACTAATGATTAAGGGGCTTCCCTGGTGGCTCAGACTGTAAACAATCTGCCTGCAATGCTGGAGACCTGGTTTCAATCCCTGAGTTGGAAAGATCCCCTGGAGGAGGGCATGGCAATGCATTCCAGTATTCTTGCCTGGAGAATCCCATGCACAGAGGAGACTGGTGGGCTACAGTCCATGGGTTCTCAAAGAGTCAGGCATGACTGAGTGACTAAGCACACAGCACAATGATTAAAATTGAATAATGATCAAATGGTAGGGGATGCGGAAGAGCAAATATGCTAATTTTATGATTGTTCTTACTAGGATTTAAGAGCTGGCGTTTAAAGAACTGGACATTTAAGGGTATAGAGTCATGAAGGGTCCAATTATTAGGATTCAATTCAAAATTTCCTAAATGTGATAAGAAATATGCACCATGAAAAAAGTAAAGGTAACTGAAAGCATCGTGAAAGAATTCAAAGATTATAAATACAGAAAGTATACCATGAACTATCATGGCAGAACAAAGACTAAACATGTACGGCATCTCAAGTAATGGAACTGGGCTAAATCCACTCGGTGAGAGAAGAACACAGAACTGGGCCAGGCTCAGAACCAGAACCGGAAACTTTCGGTGGCTGGGCAGGTGGTCCCTCCCATCTGGTGCCTGGTTCAGGGCTGTTTGTTCTCTCCCTGCAGACTCACTCTCAGTAGACTATGGTCACTGCTGTCATCGGTAGCTGGCCTGCCATGTGCCCCTGACCTCAAGTTCATGAGCAGAACAAAGCCAGCCTTGCTGACCTGTCACAAGCTCTGGTTCCTGGGGGCAGGGTAGGGGCTGAGAGGCTATTTGGCCTCATGCAGGTCAGGGTCCTGGGTGGCCCCATCAGCTCTGGTCCAGGGTCAAGGTGCCTGGACTGCTGGAGTGTGTGTGGATGGAGATAGTTACAGGAGCCCCAAAGTACAGTAGCTTGAACAACCCTTGCCAATTCTGCCCCCATGGGCTCACGCAAGCTCCCAAGCTCCTTCCTTCTGGTGGCCCCTCGGTGCCCACGAATCAGAATCACCTGGAAAACAAGTTTCCAGGTGGTGCTGACACTGCTGGTCCCAAGACCACGTGTTGAAAAACTACTGCCCCAGGATATGTCCTTTGCCAACCGCCCAGAGCTGACTCGGCCACACGTGGGCCCAGAGAGGCGAGCTGGGGCAGCCAACCTCCTTTTGAAGGAGATGGGGCAAGTAAAAGTGGCTGCTTCAGGCCCTGGGCAAGGACTTAGTCCCAGGGTCACACTTGGCTAACAGGGAGGCCGGGCAAGGCCATCTGCAGCCGGGTGGCTGTGTGCCCTGGAAAGGGAAGGGCATGTTTGTGGGAGACACTGTAGGTCCACTAAGCGGGAAGACGTGGAGACGAGAAGACAGGGGCCAGCACTCAGTGTGGGGAACAGATGGGGAAAGGCTCTTATGGTGTTCGGAGATCTGAGTCATAACAGCAGTCTACTCAGCGGGGAGAAGCCTGGTCTCCCTGCAGGCCTGTCCTGGAAGACAAAGCAGGCTGAGAGCGGAAGCAGGAGCATGGCTGCCCACCATGTTTTGAGGACAGCTGGGTGTCACGCCCCCCGCCCCCCAGCCCAGACTTCACTCTTTTCCCTGCTTGTTCACCCAAGATGTTCCTTCATTCACTGTCCCGTTATTTTGTGGGTCAGGGCTGATGTTTTCGAGGTCCTAAGCTTTTTTCTTCTACCCCCGTCCCCCAGGCATCGTGGCTCTGGAGAAAGCTGCGTGGCAAGAGGCGGCTGGCGATGGCATTCTGCCTCTTAACGACTCTGTCTGTGGTGACTGTCACCCGCTTGCCCCCACAGCGCCCAGCCACTGGCCCAGACCCTGGCCCCATGGAGCCCCAAGGGGTTGCTGACGTCCCTGCCCCCCAGAGTCGGCAGGCTCTGAGCTCCAGCTGGAGGCAGCGGGCAAGAAGGTTGAGGAGAAGCTGGGCCTTGCCCGGGAGCTCCATCCTGGTGTGTGTGGAGGAGCAACACCACAGAGGGCATGTGGACAGCAGCAGACGGTCCCCAGGGAAGGAGAGCAGCCATCCAGGGAGGATTGGTAGTGACATTACTTTGGTACCTGCAGAAGACCTGAGACTCAGTACCCGGCGTCTTGTGCTCCTGCAGGGGGAGGCGGTCAGGGGTCCAGGAGCCAAAGAACTGGACCCACCCTGGCACCATGGTCCCCTCCCGGAGGCACCGAGTAAGACAAGCACCCCAGGTGACCCCCTCACAGGGCATGACATGTCAGCCTTACAGACTNGGAGGCGGTCAGGGGTCCAGGAGCCAAAGAACTGGACCCACCCTGGCACCATGGTCCCCTCCCGGAGGCACCGAGTAAGACAAGCACCCCAGGTGACCCCCTCACAGGGCATGACATGTCAGCCTTACAGACTTGGACAGCTACTGCTGGACTGACCCTCCAGCCCCCTCCAGAAGGCGGGGGTCTGCCAGGAGTCTGGAACAGAGCCTGGACTGGTGGCCAACAAGTGGGGGGCCCTGCCCCCACCAAAGAGGCTCACTGGTGGCCTGGCTCTGCTGGGGAGCTGCAAGGATCTGTCTGGTGTGACACTGAGACTCCCGGGCTGTCCAGTGGCTTCAGGACCGGTGAGCAGGTCCCCCCGTGGCTCACAGAGCAGGATGTGCAGACCCTCCAGCTTCTGGCCCAGGGGGAGGTGGTGGGCAAAGCCCGGGTGCCCGGCCACGGGCAAGTGCTGCTAGTCGGTTTCTCCAGCGAGGGGGCCCTTCAGGATGCAGCTCCTGGGCTCAGCCAGCTCTGCTCCCAGGGGCTCTGTGGCTTGATCAAGAGGCCTGGGGACCTATCCGAGGTCCTGTCCTTCCACGTAGACCGCGTGCTGGGGCTGCGCCGGAGCCTGCCCGCGGTGGCCAGGCGCTTCCACAACCCCCTGCTGCCCTACCGCTACACGGACGGCGGCGCCCGGCCAGTCATCTGGTGGGCGCCCGACGTGCAGCACCTGGGTGACCCGGAGGACGACCAGAACTCTCTGGCCTTGGGCTGGCTGCAGTACCAGGCCCTGCTGGCACGTGGCTGTGGCCGACCCAGCCATGCCCCATGCCTGGGCATCCACCACGGCGAGTGGTCACGCCTGGCGCTCTTCGACTTCCTGCTGCAGGTAGGCGGGGCCTGGAGGGNTGTACCTTGAGAATGAGGGAATTCTACAATCAGGACACCTCCCTATTCCCGGAGAGCTGGTAGTTAAACATTTATCCTTGAATCAAGAAGGATTCAAGCTGGTTGCATAATTAAAAAAAGAGAGTCGAGGTGGAGGAGAGAGAGAATGAGAGAGGGGAGAAATAAAGGGATGATGCTGAACCTGCTTGGACCCTGGAGAGAGAAGGAAACCACAGGGCCAGCTGAGGTCCCTGCTGTGCCAGAAATTAACCCTGGAGTTTTTGGGAGTTTTGGGAAGGGGTTGGGCAGTTAGGGCACAGGGCTTACTAGGGGGACTGCAGACATCAGATATTTACTGAGTGGCCTGTTGACAACTGATGTGGCTGCTCCGAGACTTATGAGCTGGATGTCAGCTGTGGAGACACGAGTGGGGGAATGAGGCCAGAAAGAAAGAAAAACAAAAAATAATTCAAGCACACAGTGGATGGATATGTATGCACACAAAGGCAGTCCCATTCCTGTAGGGACCTCTGTTGAGGGAAGAGATCAATACTAGCCCTAAATTTACCTGCTGGGGTGACTGGGTCAAGTTCAACATCATAACCAGGTAGCCAGGGGCTGATGCTCCCTGTGTGGTCCGTACAGGGTTGGTTGGAAATGTATTTTAGAAGATTCTCAGACCACATTTAATACTTTGAGATTTCTCATGAAAATCCCACTTCCTCTGAAACATTGGATGGTTTAATAACGTGGGGCCTCTGTTCCCACACAGCAGAAATGAGCCTGAGCTGAGTATCTGCTGCCCCTTTAAAGATTGCCATGCTCCCCTTTCTGCCAAAGACCACACCTCCTGTTGTCTGATGTGATTGTGTGCATTCTCAGTCACTAAGTCGTGTCTGACTCTTTTTGACTCCACGGACTTTTGTAGCCTGCCAGACTCTGTCCATGGGATTTCCCAGGCAAGAATACTGGAGTGGGTTGTCATTTCCTCCTCCAGGGCGTCTTCCAGACCCAGGGTCTTGAACCGCTGTCCTAGAACCCAGGGTTCTACCCCGTGTCTCCTGCATCTCCTGCATTGCAGACAGACTCTTTACTACTGAGCCACCTGGGAAGCCCTGTTGTCTGACACCCACCCCCAAACCCTTGGATGTTATCTGTCTGCCTGTGGGTAATTGTCTCTTGTCACTGGACCAGCTGGCCTCTCGCAATACTTCCAGCTCCTTGAGTCTGTGTCTCGTGGCTGCTTTGTGGAGGGAGGATCGTGGGGCCTGGTGGTTGGCACGGGCTTTGGCACCAGACATATCTGGGTTTGAATCCCCTGCCCACTGGCCATGTCCCACCATGTGATCCTGAGCAGACTAGCTGGCCTCTTTGAACTTCACTCCTCTCTAAATGGGACCAGGTGTCCCTGCCTTCTGCCCTTGAGGACGTGGTAGCTCTTAATCACCCGCTCCTGTATGTAGGCTTGCTCTGGGCCCCAAGCCTGCTCTGCCCGTGTGTGAAAGGCTGAGGGCTAGGGATTAGTGTCCTCTAGACAGCGTGACCTTTCCTCCTGCCTGGGAGGGAGGCATTTCCGAGACCACAGTCTTGGGCAAACTGGAAGAGCTGGCCACGCTCCCTCCAGGAACAGCCGTCCTATGACTGATGGGAGGTAGTCTGTAAAAGCCCCAGTTCCCTGGCTGGGGTGGCTCTGTGGTGCGTGTTCCTTGTGTCTCTCAGAGCCCCCTACCAGGATTGAGCCATGGTTGACCACAGAGCTCATTGCCAGCCCTCCCTATCTCCCTTTCCCAGTCCTTGCTTGTTTTTGAATTAGCTCACGGATCGATTGCTTTCGCTCTGAGTTCTTGGCTGCGTTCTGTCTCTGGGGGAGCCTGGCCTCCATCAGATGACACCTCTGACCCTGTGTGGTTTCTGCATGCAGGATCATCCACGTAATATACTTAATACAGCGCCTGGCAGTGGCCCAAACTCAGTAATGCACTGCCCCCAACACTTTACAGGAATTAACTCCTCCAGTCCTCATGGTAGCCTTGCTAGAGAGATAAGAGGCTTCTCCCTGTTTTGAAGTTGGACAGTTGAGGTCTCAAGTGGTTAAGTGACTTGGCTAAGTTGATGGCCAGTGGAACTGAGACACAGCCTGGATGGTCTGGCTCCAGAGCTCACCCTCCTTCTCACACAGTCCTCTTCAGCCGGCCATGGGTGAGGGCAGGAAAAGGGGGTGCTGGTTGGGACATCCGGGACTTTGAGCCCTGAGGACCCTCCTTGTGGCCCCCCGTCCAGCTGATGTGCACGCAGCCCTTTCTGCCCACACAGAGCCCCTCTGTCTGTCTTTGGAGGTTGCGGTGTGAAGCCCTTCCACAGCTGCCAAGCCCAGCCACGGGGGTGGACAGTTCAGCCGCCAGAGCACACACAGGTGGGCGTGTGGTCAGACGCCACTCAGCTGGCCTTGGGCCATGTCTTCCTGGGTTTGCCGAACACCAGGCGAGTCAAACACCCCTGGCTGGCAGATGCTGCCTTCCTAGAAACCACGGGCAGGCTGGAGTGAGGAGGGGCTGTGGGTTTCCCAGCCCAGGAACCCAGGTCCCTACTGAGCAGAAGCCAGGAACAACCTGAGGGCAGTCATGCCTGGACTCAAGAGGGCCGTCTGCCCAGAGAGTGGGAAGGGCGTGTGGGGTCGTGGGGACAGGAATGGGCACATTTGTACCTTTTCCTTCTAGAGAGGCTTCTTTTTTCTCATGCCCTGCTTCATCTTGGAGGGCATGTGCTTGACTGCACGGGGTGAGCAGCTGCAGAGAATTCGAGACAGTGAGAGGGTGGTGTTTGCTCATGGAAGTCATCCTGCTGCTTCCGCTGATGCAGGGCCTTCACGTTCTGGAAAACCCAGACCCCAGAAAGCCTCAGGTGCCACCATCCTGGTGCGGGCCACCATCTTTTCTTACCTGGACTCTGCTTCCCTAACATCTCCCTAACGTCTCCATTTTGTCCCCTCCAACCGGATCTCCTTACAGAAGCTGGAGTGATATCTTGGTTTCCGTTCCCCCAGGCAGACCCTGAGACCAGGGTCCAGTGTGGTAGTTCCCCTGGGAGGGAACCCCAGGAAACACTCGTAGGGAAGAGGAAAGTGAGACGGCTGGAAGGCGGCCCGCAGAGGGCATGTCATCGAACAGGGCACCCCTATGGGTGCCTGGGGCTTGATCCACAGGAAAATTCTGAGAAATGGTATAAAAGACACGTTCAGAGTTAGCCCACCAAAAGCGAGGGACACAAGGTATTGATAGCCAAATTTCCCCTTGGTCTTTGGTTGAGGGCTGCTCCTGGAGGTGTTAATTCCATGGCATTTGGAGAAAGCCCCCGGGCAGAGCCTATAGGATCTGGAAATTTCCTATCTAGGTGCTGCTGTGTTCTGCTTGCTCAAATACCACTCCTTCCTCTAGACTGAAAAGAATCCCAAAGCCACCTCCTTTTCTTTTCAGGTCCCATAGATATAGAGGTGGAAAACTATGTGACAATCATTTGTCCAGCCCTTGTATGGGCATGTGATTAACTCATGCTTCCAGAACAGATGATGGCATATAACATCACCTGTCATCCTCCGCATCAGGCACTGTGCCAGCACTTCACATGTGTTGATGTGTGACAGCCCTGGGAGTGGACAGTATCTTTTAGCTCCATTCCACAGATGAGGAAACTGAGGTTTAGAAAGGCTAAGGAACTTGCCCACAGTAACCTGCAGCCTTAAGTGCTGGAGCTGGAATCGGATCCGCCGCAAGTTTGGCCACAGAGGGCATGCCTTTGCCCTCTTCGTTGACTCAGCTGACCCTGGAAAAGTCATTTCTTCTGGTTTCTAGTTGAGGCTGGCCCATTTCTTTCCTGGGGCGCCAGGTTCAGTCATTTGTGATCCTGTGTGTGTTTCTTGTTTTGAGTGCAAATCTATGGTTCACATCGTTCTTCTCTGGCTTGGCCTTCCTGAACATCAGGTGTAGCTAGACAGGAGCCCAGGTCCATGACCACTGTCGACCTCTCAAGCTTCCAGCCAGAGACCTGAAATATAAACATAGCACCTTTATGTCCCACAGCAGACCCAAGAGACAGGTGCAGTGCTCCTTCCTCCTGCACAGACGGTGCGGCCAGCCATGAAGGGTGAAGCAGCCCACCCGGAAGGGGGTGTTTAAGGGCGACATCAAGCATCTTTACATATACTTGAGAGCAGGGCCTCGATTAGGACAAGTGTGATCGGCAGAATTCAGAGATGGTCTTCAAGATACCCACCCCCTTAGTGTGAACTCCTGCCCTTGAGAAAGAACGAGACCTGTAAATATGATGGAATCTTATTTCAGTGATTAAGTTACCAATCAGTTATCTTTGGGTATTTTTGCTTATTTGTTTTTTGATTGAAATATCCCCTGGAGTAGGAAATGGCAACCCACTCCAGTAGTCTTGCCTGGAGAATTCCATGGACAGAGCAGCCTGGCAGGCTATAGTCCATGGGGTCAAAAAGAGTCAGTCACAACTGAGCACGCATGCAAGCAAGCAAGCATAATCGACCTACAGCTCTGTTAGTTCCAGGTGCACAACCTAATGACTCGATATTTCTATATGTTATGAAATGATCACCAAGATAAGTCTAGATTCAACCTGTCACATACAAAGTTATTACAATATTATTGAGGTACTCATCAGTTAATCTGGAGTTAATCAGAAGGAAGACTCTCCCATTGGCCTGAACCAGTCAGGAGAGTCTTTCAAAGATGAAGCATCAGCGGATTTTCCTGCTGGCCTTGAGGAATAAACAGCCAGGCTATGAGCTGCTGTGGGTCAGGGAGGCCTCTGGAAGGACCCTGAGATCTCCTTACAGCCACAAAGAATGGTTTCTGCCAGCAGCCTGACTGAGCGCAGGAGAGGAGCCTGAGTTACGAAGGAGATGGAGCACCTTGAGTTCAGCCTGAGACCCTGGATAGAGTATCTGGCAGAAAGGGATGGACTCCCGACCCACAGGAACTGTGAGTTAATAAGTGTGTTATTTTAAGCCACTAAGCTGGTGGTCATTTGTATGTGGCCATAGAAAATGAGTTCATGTGGCAAGGGAGGGGCCTCCAGTGCAAACACCTTCAGCAGTGCGCATCTCGGGCGACCTGCTCTGCACATCCTGACGGCCGACAGCACTTCTCTGCCTCGCCCTCCTCCTGCCTCCTGTCTTTCAGCCACTCAGCCGTGTCCAACTCTTCGCGACCCCATGGACCGTAGCACGCTGGGCTTCCCTGTCCTTCACTATGTCCTAGAGCTTGCTCAAACTCATGTCCATTGAGTTGGTGATGCCATCCAACCATCTCGTCCTCTGTTGTCCCCTTCTCCTCCTGCCTTAGCCTCTGCTTAGATTTCTTAAAAATCTTTTTTATCTGTTTATATTCTTTGCCCCATTTTCTGTTGGATTGTTGGTCTTTTTCTTAAGGACTTTAAGAGCTTTTTTATAGATTAAGAAAATCAGTCTTTTGTTTTCTTTGCATTCTGGTATTTCTCTCAGGTTCAGTTGTCACAAGCAAGCATAATCGACCTACAGCTCTGTTAGTTCCAGGTGCACAACCTAATGACTCGATATTTCTATATGTTATGAAATGATCACCAAGATAAGTCTAGATTCAACCTGTCACATACAAAGTTATTACAATATTATTGAGGTACTCATCAGTTAATCTGGAGTTAATCAGAAGGAAGACTCTCCCATTGGCCTGAACCAGTCAGGAGAGTCTTTCAAAGATGAAGCATCAGCGGATTTTCCTGCTGGCCTTGAGGAATAAACAGCCAGGCTATGAGCTGCTGTGGGTCAGGGAGGCCTCTGGAAGGACCCTGAGATCTCCTTACAGCCACAAAGAATGGTTTCTGCCAGCAGCCTGACTGAGCGCAGGAGAGGAGCCTGAGTTACGAAGGAGATGGAGCACCTTGAGTTCAGCCTGAGACCCTGGATAGAGTATCTGGCAGAAAGGGATGGACTCCCGACCCACAGGAACTGTGAGTTAATAAGTGTGTTATTTTAAGCCACTAAGCTGGTGGTCATTTGTATGTGGCCATGGAAAATGAGTTCATGTGGCAAGGGAGGGGCCTCCAGTGCAAACACCTTCAGCAGTGCGCATCTCGGGCGACCTGCTCTGCACATCCTGACGGCCGACAGCACTTCTCTGCCTCGCCCTCCTCCTGCCTCCTGTCTTTCAGCCACTCAGCCGTGTCCAACTCTTCGCGACCCCATGGACCGTAGCACGCTGGGCTTCCCTGTCCTTCACTATGTCCTAGAGCTTGCTCAAACTCATGTCCATTGAGTTGGTGATGCCATCCAACCATCTCGTCCTCTGTTGTCCCCTTCTCCTCCTGCCTTAGCCTCTGCTTAGATTTCTTAAAAATCTTTTTTATCTGTTTATATTCTTTGCCCCATTTTCTGTTGGATTGTTGGTCTTTTTCTTAAGGACTTTAAGAGCTTTTTTATAGATTAAGAAAATCAGTCTTTTGTTTTCTTTGCATTCTGGTATTTCTCTCAGGTTCAGTTGTCATTAAACTTAGTTTCTAATCTTTCTGCTATGCAGAAATTAAAAAAATTGTTTTGTGCTGTTAAACTTATCAAGCTATTTTTCATGACTTCTGGGTTAGTGTATTATGTTTTTAAGGACCATCCTCATTTCAGGGTTATTTTTAAAAAAATCCTCCCATGTGTTTTTATATATTTTTGATCCATCTGGAAGTTATTTTGAAGTAAGAGATCAGGTGCAAAATAATGATTTTTTTTTTCAGATGGCAACTCAAATGTCCCAGCACCATTTGTTGAATAATCCTTCTTTCCCCCAATTTGAAATGCTGCCTTTTCCATATAGTCAATTTCCATATGTACGCAAGTCTATTTGTAGACTCTTCTGTTCCAGTAAAGGGTCTGTCTATTTATGTGCCAGAATCACACTGTTTTAATTATCACACTTTATATTTTATGTTAATAACTGGGAGTGCTTGGTCTCCTTGCTCTTTTTAAAGATTTTTCCCAATACTCCTGCATACTCTTCTCAGCCAGCTTGTTACTTCCTTTGCCTTCCCAAGTCCTCTTGGGACTTGACTGGAATCAAATGAAATCTGTGTGGACTAATATAGAGAGAATTTACATCCTAAGATACAGGGTCATTCTAGGCCAAGAACAGGCTGTGTCTTTCCTTTTATTTCTGTTCCTCAGAAGCATCTTTATGCCTGAGCTGGATCTTCACTTTCAGGTTGGGATGATACTGATATTTCATCTTGTGACCATTAAAAAGAGCCTCTTTTCCTTTTATTATATTGTTACTAACCGAGGCTTCTGGACTCTCTGATCAACAGAAATTGATAAGAAGTTGGCTAAGAAGTTCAGGCACAGCTTTACTGGGACTCGAGCTGAAGCACATAGGAGTGAAAACAAGAAATTGTTGCCCTGGCTCGCTTCCCAGGGCAGGGGGGAGCCGGCCCCTTAAAGGGAGTGAGGGTGAAGATGTGGCTTCCCTGCCCCGCCCATCCCTCCCTGGTGCTCCCAGCAGTGCCCTGCATCTGCTCCCTGCTCCCCAGAAGTGGCAGTTGGCTTGCAATCTTTTTGTGTCTTGTTCATAATTTACCCCATTGGGCTTGTGAGCAGTTAGTTTTAATCCTTTGTAGTTCCTTTTTTTCTAATTTGATTTATTTGGCTGAACCGGATCTTAGTTGCAGCATGTGGAATCTAGTTCCCTGATGAAGGATTAAAACTGGACCCCTTGCATTGGGAGCATGGAGTCTTAGCCACCGGGTCACCTGGGAAGTCCCTGAGTCCCTTATAGTTTCTTTGGATTCTGTTGCTCATTCTTTGGGGAGGCATTTGTCCAGGTGCAAGCTCAGGCTCGCTGAGAAAGGGTCCCAGGTCCCAGCCTGTCTCAACACGTTCTGGCCTGTAGCTCTTGGTCTGTGTAAAGGATATTGTTTTTGTATCATACTTTGGTTACTGGTTACTTGTTCACTTCATAATGCTTCTCACAGTTGCCCTGAGTTTTCCAAGTATATGGTCGTTTCTTCTGTAACGAATGCACTTTGCGTTCTCATTGCCTCATCTTTCATTTTTCTTACCTAACTACAACCATGGTGCCTTCAGAGCAATGGTAAATAGTAATGGGATGCTGGACATGACTTGTCTCTACAGATTTGGGACAGTTTCTAGTGTTTTACCATTAAACATCATGCTGACTTTTGGCTGAAGAACTATTTGCTATCCTTACCTTATTAAGGGTTTTTCTTGTCAGGAATGGATGTAAAAATTACATCAGATGCCTTTTGAGTATCAGTGGAGGAGGTCACAGATTACACACATCCTCCATCTAATGTATTGATGTGGGGACTGACTTCTGGGGAAAGGTATTCCCATGGTGACTCATTGTAGCTTTCTTGGTTGGAACTGTACTTTCCTCTGGTGGACACATCATTTCACAGGTGCTGGATTTTGTGTTGATGTTTAAAATTTAGAGTGATTTAGTCCTTTTGGGGGGCTTCCCAGGTGGCACTAGTCGTAAAGAACCCACCTGTCAATGCAGGTAGATGTAAGAGATGTGGTTTCAATCCCCTGGTTGGGAAGATTCCCTGGAGGAGGGCATGGCTGCCCATGCCAGTATTCTCACCTAGAGCATCCCATGGACAGAGGAGCCTGGTGGGCTACAGTCAAGAGGGGTCACAAAGAGTCAGACATGACTGAAGCAACTTAGCACGCATGCCTGTCTTTTTAGATAATTCTTCTCAGGCCATCTCCTCAAAGCCCACCAGCTGGTATATTCACCCACATCCAGAGCTGGTGCTGTGACATCTGGCCTCTGGCTTGGGGCAGATGAGGCATCCAGAGGGCCCCCTGCCTGGGGCCTCTGGGGAGGCCACCCTCTGTCAGGACACAAAGGGAGCACTGCAGAGAGAGTCATCAGAGGCTGGTGAGAGTCAGTGTGGAGTAACCCAGTCCTCCCCACACCCTCATCCCCCCAAAGCCTCACGAATCCTCTAACAGACAGCCGTTCAGTGCGGGGCCAGCCCGCTGCCCTCCTCGGAGATGCTGCCGCCCTGGGGATGTCTGGCAGCGAATAGACCCAGCCAGGAGCCACCCTTTCAATGAAGACCCTGGGCCCGTGACTGTCCCCAGGTGGGGGAGGGTCCTACACAGGGGGCCTGGGCCACCAGGGGCAGCAGGCTGTTCTTCTGGAGTCCACCAGACTCGGATCAGGCACTGGCTGAGGATGTGTCTTGGCCCAGGAGCCTGGGGAGGGGTGAGAGGACTTGGGTCACCCCTCGTGCCCTATGCTGGGCGCCTCCCAGACGTCCTCACCCTCACAGCTCAGCCTGGTGTCCCTCTTGGCAGACTGCAGTGTCTTGTCCCACTAGATATCCTGTTTGGGGGCCCCAGAGGCAGGCCTCTGCCTGTCAGGCTCATGTGAGGGGCAGGCTTTCAGTGGTCAGTCCTCATGTGAAGGCCTCCCCCACCATCCTTCCTGCTGTCAGCCAGCCATGAGCTTCATTCACTCATTCTTGCACTCAGAAAACCTCAACCAAGTCCTGTTGTGCTGGAAAAGTGCTAGGAGCTAGGGATCCCGTTGACCCATGTCTTCTCTGTATCGAGGCACTTGTGACCTCTAGGGTCACAATGCACGTGCCTGCCACCCAGTCCAACGCAGTGGCCCGAGCCAGACTGCCCCGGTCTGAGTCTAGGCGTCACCGCTTTCACTCTGCGGGACCCTAGGCATGTTTTCCAGCCTCTGTCACTCCATTTCCTCATCTTTGAAACGGAGATAGTAACTGTACCTGCCTCCTGGCTGCTGGGAGGATTAAATGAGCCGTGCTAGGTAAAGCACTCAGCGCCTTACCCAGCAGAGAGTAAGGGCTTCACAGCGTTCAGTAAAATTAAACACAAACTTCATGAGCACACAGCACTGCTAGAAGGCCAAAACTACAAAAGACTATCATTTTTTTCTTGGTAACTGCTCTTTTTGTCAAAAAGGGGGGAGAACAAATCCTGATGCCTCAGGATGTGGGAATGAAACCTAAGCCTGGTCCTGTCTGGCTGCTGCTGTTTCAACTGTTTCAACCGAATTGCTCTTCAGTGGAAAAAAGTTCCCAGACAGCGTGGCAGATTACTCACACTGGCACCTGGGCCCGGCCAACCCCTCCCTGTTCAGCGTTCAAATGGGTGTACATCTGGGGGCACCAGCGCCGCCCCTGTCATATGGCCCGACAGTGCTTGTAGCTTCTTCTGGAAATAAGCACCGCATCCAGTTAAAATCCGCACAGAACGGCCTGCCAACAGGATCAGGGAGCGTTTGGCCTGAGGAAGGGGGTTTGGCTGGCTGTGCCATCAGACGTGACGTGAGATTGGAGTCATCACTGGATTTCAGTCCTGCTGGAACCATCCAGGCATTTACTCTCCCAACCAGAGATGCCTCGGCACGTGGCATCCGTCTCCCAGATCTGTCTGGGCTCCAGAAACCAGGCCTTGCACACACGTAGAGGAGAGTGGCTAGGCCGTCATGACACAGCTTTATTTAGATGCTTCACAGGGCTATGGCCAGGGCTTTCAGAGGGAGGAAGCCCTGAGACTCCTGCAGGCCTTTAGGCCTGTCCCTTCCAGGTCTCCCCATGACAACCAGCCCCCTCACCTTGTGTGGTCCTCAGTGAGGCCAGTCCTCAGTGAGGGAGTACCAGTGCTCCCACTTTGGGTTAAATAACTTCCTCAGGTCATAGAGTTAGGGCATAGTGGAGCCACGATTCACCCCCAGATCCCTGGGGCTCCAAACCAGGGTCACAGACATGGCCCAGATTGCAGGCCAAATTCCCCTATCTTTTTTTTCTGTTCAGTCCATGAGCTAAGAATGGTTTTAGCATTTTCAAATGGTTGAAAAGATCAAAAGAATATTTCGTTACACCTAAAAATTCTATGAAATTCAGATTTCAATGTATGTTAATATAGTTTTTTTGGGGGGGAACATGGCCATGGTCATTTGTTTGCATATTATCTAGAATATGCACAACATGCACAACACAGGCAGAGTCGGGTAGTTGTGACAGAGACCGTATGGGCTGCAAAGCCTAAAATATTTACTGTCTGGCCTTTTGTGGGAAAAGCTTGCTGATCTCTGCTCTAAACCTCTCTGTGGGCAGCCTTGGAGGGCTCCTGCCGAGGACAGGTGTGCATTAGAATGCGTGGAGAACCCCACCCCTTGCCAAGTTAGAGGACAATATGGAGAAATATAAGGGTGTGTTACTATCTTCAGGTGAATGTAAAAACTGTTGGAAGGTTGAGAGGTCTCTGGGGGCATGCCACAGGGTTCTGTCCTCAGCCCCATCCTGTCAACACTTCTGTAGGAGCCGGAGTGAGGACGTGGGGCTCTGGTGGACCCAGTGGAGCACTCTTGTTTCTTCTGCACAGGGCCCTGGTCTGATTCCCTTTCTCCTCATTCCTGGGCTCAGAGGTCAGTACATCACCATCTTCCAGTGATGGCCTCTGGATAAGGGATGAGCCTGTGTCCAGATTTGGTCCAGTCAGACTGAAAGGAAGGACTGATATTCCATGGGTGTTGGGGGAGGTCTTCTGTCTCTCCCCTCCCCTCCTTCCTTTCTCTCTTTCTCTCTCTGTCTCCTTCTCTTTGGACATGAATAGGGAAAAACATGGGGACTTCCCAGGTGGCTCAAGTGGTAAAGAACCTGCCTGCCAGTGCAGGAAGCATAAGAGACATGGGTTCAATCCCTGGGTCGGGAAGATCCCCTGGAGGGGGCATGCAACCCACTCCAGTATTCTCTCCTGGAGAATCCCATGGACAGAGGAGCCTGGCGGACTACAGTCCACAGGGCTGCAAAGAGTCTGACACAACTGAAGCAACTTACCACAGTCACAAGGAAAAACATACCCACAGGAGCCAGCTGCAGGTTTTCTGAGACAACACAGGGATGTCCTTAACATTGTGGGGTAAAGTGAAGAGCAGAAAGAAACCTTATCATGACAATAGGAGCTGCTTAAAGGTGCCCTCCAAGCTTGTCCTATTGCAAGGCTCTTGAGACTTCCTGCTGTAGATCTTAATTTCCCCTCTGGTTAAAGTCACTTCCAACCAGAATTTTCTGTTACTTGTGGCTGTTGTTATTCAAAGTCCAGGAGGCTAAAGTAATGACTGTCCACCTCAGGGGCTTAACAGGCTCGTTGCATGGACAGGGCTCTGGCTGTTTGTATCATGGCCAAGCCAGGCCGGTCCTCCAGGCTAAACATGCCTTTTAAGTGGTGTCAGTGATGTCCTTGGTCCACTGCTTCTGGAAACACTCCATGATGTGGCCTTACAGAAAGGCCCTCAGCCTGTCTGGGGCAATGATCTAGGCCCGGGATGTGACTTCTTCACGCTGAATTGTTTTAAATTGGGGAAAATAATGTTTAGGGACAGTAGTTGGGACTGTTCAACACTGTCTCATTTCTGGATGTCTGGTTTCATGAGGTTGATTGGTGAATAGAGCTATAGTTATTTTCTGGCTTGTATAGAAGGAAATCAATTTTGTATTTCTTCAGAACACACAGGAGTTACCTCCAAAGGGGATATGGGAATGGAGTGAGACCTTTCATTGGCTGGTGCTGAGCTGGGCTGGGCGGACTGCCAGGTGGCTGGCCTGGCTTTGATGTGTGCCGCATCCTGGGGGCTGTCGTCTATGTGTCCCCGGCCCCCGGCCCCTCTGCCTTGTGTAGAGAGAGGTTGGCAGAGGGAGACAGGATGGTGGTGCTGGCTAAAGCTGGACCAGGGCTGCGGCTTGGGTTGGCTGAGAGGCGACCACAGATGAATAAAGACCATCCAAACAGCTCTGGTGCCTGCCTGCTGCCGCCTCAGGAGGACAGTGGGCTCTGAGACTTCCGATTCCTTCTTTTCTTCCTTCACTGTTTTGAAAACTCCTCTCCAGTCTTAATGAGTGTAATAATGGGGACCTCACTTGACCTCTAAGTGGCTCCCTCTCCCTGACCTTCAGGGAGGCAATGGAGGACATCAGAGAGCGCTGGGCTCCAGCCAGGCAGACCTGGGTTCAAACCCCAGCTGGACTACTTCCTCGTGTATGACCTTGGGGAGGTCTGGGGTCCATGTCCCCATGTATTATTGGGGCAATAATGTCTCCCTTGCAAGGCTGCAGTGAGAATTGGATGAGACAGAGATGCAGTGATGTTGCTGGTCATCTGAGTGATGCCTTCTGTGCCCACCAACTCTCCAACCTCAACTGGGTGACTCTATCCACCTGGAGTCAATGTCAGATTAAGGGCTCAGTCAAGTTAAGGGCTCAGCTCCACAGAACTCCTGATTCAGATGCCAGTCATGAGTCCTGAGCCGCCCATACTTCTGGCCAGCTGGCTGAAAATCTGGGGTTCTCATGACTGTCCCATCCCCGGGTTCAACAGTTTGCTACAACGGCTCACAGGACTCAGGAAAACACTACTTCAGGGGTCTGGTTTATTATAAAGGACGTCAGTGAACAGCCAGTAGAAGAGGTACGTGTGGTGAAGTCTGAAAGGGTCCCAAGTCCATGGCCCCGCATGTAGAGTTGGGGTGCATCACCCTCCTGGTATGTGGCTGTGTTCTCCCTAGAACATAGTTCAAAAGTTTCTATAACCCAGTTTCCAGCTCCCCTACTCTTCCCTGAGGTTGGAGAGTCAGGTGGAAAGCTCCCACTCTGTATTCTTTGTCCATCTAACAATCAGCCTGAAGTTATCTCAGGGCCCCATGAGTCATCTTATTAAACTCTGATGTGGTCGGAGGGTTTATTATGAATATCAAAATGTATTCATATCACAGAGCCAATTGCAGGGGTTTTATGAGCTCTGTGCCAGGAACCAGGGACAGAGACCATCTCTCATGATCATCTCTGAGGGAGAGATTCTGTGTCATTGTTTCCACTTTAGGCATCCAGTGTAGGATGAGTCAGGAAAAGGAATGCTTTCCTTCCTGACTCTGATCCAGGCCTCCTGCAGGGTGGAAGTGCTGTTTGAGAGTCAGGAGCTGCCTGGATGGTCATTAAAATCTTTTTATCCCCATAAAAGGAGGAATCCATATGGTAGCATTTGCTGCTTCAAGAAAAAGTGGTCACGTTTGACTATGGACAGATAGTCTGCACTGGGAGGCCCCAGGCCAGAGTTCAGGTAAGTAGTATAGGTTAAACAGCAGCAGGACTTCCACTTCAGGGGGCCTGGGTTCGATCTCTGGTCAGGGAACTAAGATCCCACCTNTGACAGGGATCTGTCGTGGACCCTATTGGCTCACAGGCTGGGGCTGTCGGGAAACACTGCTTCCAGTGAAAACTAGAACCCAGGGTGGGAAGCCGTGTGCTGAGACCATCAGCGGGGGGCTGGTGGGGCAGAAGAGCCGCTGCTCCTGCAGGAGGGGCGAAGTACCACCCTGGGGAAGGGCTGCTCTGTCTCCCCCGGTGAGGCTGGTGTCCTCGCCGCCTCCCCTTGGCCGTGGAGCATCAGACGGTGGCCGGGACTGAGTGTCAGGCGGCCCGGCCTCAGGCTCCTCACCCCGTCTGTCGCCAGAACAGGAATCAGTGCCTCCACTTTGTGGTTTTACCGGTGGTGCTGCCGCTTGGGGCTACAGGTCCAGGTTTGAGCCAACCAGCTATTTACTAGCTGTGTGACCTTGTGCAAATTACCTAACTTTTTTGCCTCTGTTTCTGTAAAATGGGGCTGGTATCAGTGGCCGTTTGCCCCAGGGTTGCTGGGCGGGTTCACCAGAGATGGTGCCCGGCCACCCTGAGCACAGGCCCAGGTGGAAAGAGCTCACTGCTCTGTGCGGTGGGGGAACCGACTGGGCGAGGAGCAGGGTGCATTGTGCGACTGACGGCTTAGGGGCCGCTGAGCCGCTCACCCTGACAGCACCCTGGGGCACCGCGTCCATCTTCTGTCCCTGTCCATCTTCTTCCCCGAGGTGCGGAGCAGTGACCCCACTCGTCTGGTCTACATCGATAACGCTGGCCACCTTCAGCATCCGGAGCACAAGCTGAACTTCCGGCTCCTCAAGGGCATCGATGGGTGAGCATCGAAGAGGCTGGGCAGAGGTTCAGGGACTGAGGTGAGGGGCCCTGTCATAGACCCCGCTTTCTTGAACCATGGCTCCCCAGAAGTCCGCCGTCCAACAGATGGGAGCTGTTGGATGAGTCTCAGGATGGTGTGGGGAGTCCTGGGAAAGCTAACAGTCAGTGGGCCCTTGAAATCTAGGATGGGCTGCCCGCTCCCCGGTATCCAGAGCACAGCACGAGCTGCCCTGCCGGGGAGTGGGCAGGCTGAGCGGGCAGGTTCCCTTGCTTGGCAGGGTGCTGGCCGGGTGGCCACCTTCGCTGCTCAGTCCTGCCGCACCTCGGCCTTCCCAGGGCTCCTGCTCACTTTGCTCAGGCCAGCAGAGTGGATTCGCCCTCTGGGGGGCTGGGACCCATCGAAAGCTTCATCCCGTGTCTGCTGTCACAGCAGAGTGGGTGGAAGGGTCCCCGGACACCTAGTCAGCAGGCGGTCCCTGGGACTTTGTGGGTCCTCAGCTGTGCAAGTTCATGGAAACTCTCTAAGCCGGCTTTTGCCCTTCTTTTCTTTCCGGGGCTGGGGGACCTTCCTCCAGGTTTCCTGAGTCTGTCATGAAGGTTCTGGAATCAGGGTGTCTACAGAATATGCTGCTCAAGTCGCTACAGACGGACCCAGTGTTCTGGGAAAGCCAAGGTGGGCGACAGGGCCTGCAGCAAGCCCTGCAGACCCTGCAGCAGCGAGCACAGGTCCTGCTGCACCACATCCGGACGCACAACCTGACAGTCTTCCCGGACTGAGGCCCGTAAGCCCCGCCCACCTCACCCCGGGTCCAGGAGGGACTCTTAAGCCCCGCCCACCCCTCCCCCTCCGCGCCGGGCGGGACTCTCGCCTTACCGCGGGAGAGTCAGTCACTATGCGACCTGAGGGGATAAGCGCCCATCCTCATGGCCACAATTTCTTGTGTTGAAAATGTCTCGAAGACAAAAGGGAAAAGTCAGAAACCAGGAGGGCACCATGGACGCCGTGGGATGTGTCGCATGCCTGGGCTGGTGGAGGAGGTGGTGGGGGTTGGATTTTCAATCTCTTCACGTTCCTTTCTGCCAGCTCAGCTGACTGTTTACTCTCCTGCACCAATAAATACACAAGAATGTTCTATGAACTGCTCCTGATACTGTAAAGTCATGCATTGCACGTGCACACGCAGAGCTGGACACCTGTGTGTGTGTGTGTGTGTAGGTGTGTGGGTGTGTGTAGGTGTGTGGGTGTGTGTAGGTGTGTGGGTGTGTATGCATGGTAAGTGGACCTGCCCACATGCACACGTGATATGACCCTCATCAAGGGTCTTTACTGAATTGTACTTGTGACCCAGAACTGCTCTGCCTGAAAGTGAACTCAGCTCCTAGAGATGGAACACTGAGCCTTTTGTCTCTATAGCCTTTAGATGTTCAATTTTTGTTCATTTATGTTTTGGTTTAAGAATTGTAAAAGTAATACATGCTCACTAAACACAAATCCATAAATACTAGAAGCATATAAGATAAAAAGTGAGAGGGTCCAGAGGGACGTTACTTTGGCACTTACTGAGCAAACTTTTCAGCAGCCCAATACTACATTCTGTATTTGCCATCTAGTTGACCCAGTTCTTACTTATGACTGCAAGGAACTCCCATGCAGGGGTGTATTATATTTCATTTAGCTGTTCTCATCATGGTGAACATTTAGATGGCTCTAACTTTTCACCAATTCAGGACAATGCTGCCATAAACATCTTTGCATGATGTGCAGGTATTTCTGCCGGCTATATTTCCATGAGTGGATTTCTACATTAGCAGAAATGGGCTAATGGGCATTCTTTATATGCAGAGAAACTGCCAAATTCCTTTCAAAATGGTGGTGTCAGTCTACATTCCTAACCAGAGGGTAGGGGACTAATTGTTTCGCTACACCTCATCATCACTTGATATTCTTAAACTTATTGTTTTTATTCATCTGATAGGGAAAGCCATTTTTAATTTTTATTTTTTACTGAAGGATAGTTGATTTACTATCCTTCAACATTGTGTTGATTTCAGGTATACAACAAAGTCATTCAGTTACATATATTTTTTTCTTCAGCTTGTTTCCCATTATAGGTTATTATAAGATATTGAATATTATTCCCTGTGTTATACAGTAAATCCTTGTTGTTTACATGTTTTATGTATAAAAGTGTGTATCTGTTAATCCCAAACTTATCCCTCCCCATCTCCTTTCCCCTTTGGTAACCGTATGTTTGTTTACTGTATCTGTAAGTTTATTTACTGTGTCTGCTATGTTTACCATGTCTGTTTCTGTTTTGTGTGTAGATTCTTTTGTGTATTATTTTTTAGATTCCACATATAAATGATATAATATTTGTCTTTCCTTCTCTGGCTTACTTCACTAAGTATAATATTGTCTAGGTCCATTTGTAGCTGCAAATGGAAATATTTCATTCCTTTTTATGTCTGAGTAATATTCCATTGCATTTATTTATCACATCTTCTTAAACCAATCACCTATTGATAGGCACTTAGATTTTTTCCATCTCTTTGCCTATTTGTAATCTTGCTTCTGTGAACACTAGGGTGCGTGTATCTTTTTGGATTATAATTTTATCTGAATCCCAGGAGTGGGATTGCTGGATCACATGGCAACTCTATTTTTAGTTTTTGAAGACCCATGCTGTTTTCCATAGTGACTGTTCCAATTTACATTCCCACCAACAAGTGTAGGCGGGTTACTGTTTCTCCTTGCCCTCTCCAGCATGTTATTTGTAGACCTTTTAATGATGACTGTTCTGACTGGTGTGAGTGATATATCACTGTAGATTTGATTTGCATTTCTTTCTTTAATTATTAGTAATGTTGAGCATCTTTTCATTTGCCTCTTGGCCATCTATATGCCTTCTTTGGAGAAATGTTCTTTTAGGTCTTCTGCCATTTTTTGATTGGGTTGTTTTTGTTGTTGTTAAGTTATATTAGCTATTGGTATATTTTAGAAACTAAGCCATTGTCAGTTGCATCATTTGCAAATATTTTCTCCTGGTTCATAGGTTGCATTTTCATTTTTTTTATGGTTTTCTTTGGTGTACAAAAACATAAGTTTGATTAGGTTGCATTTGTTTATTTTTGTTTTTATTTCTATTGGCCTGGGAGACTGACTTAAGAAAACATTGGTATGATTTATGTCAGAGAATATTTTGCCAATGCTCTCTTTAGGAGTTTTATGGTATCATGTCTTATGTTTAAAAAGGCTTCCCAGGTAGCACACAGTGGTAAAGAATCCTCTTGCCAACGCAGGAGATGGAGATGTGCGTTCAATCCCTGGGTCAGGAAGATCCCCTGGAGGAAGAAATGGCCATCTACTCCAGTATTCTTGCCTGGAGAATCCCATAGACAGAGAAGCCTGGCAAACTTCAGTCCATGGGGTCGCAAAGAGTTGGACATGACCAAGCAACTGAGCATGCAGGCATATATTCTAAATACAAGTCCAATATATGTTTTCAAATATTTTCTCTAGATCTGTGGCTTGTTTTTTCATGTTCTTAACAGTGGCTTTTGAAGAGTAAAAGTTTTTTTGATTAGGTCCAATTATTAATATTTCTCTCTTAGATATTTTATAGGGTTTTACAAGTTGTTCCTCTAGAATATTGATACTTTTTTATCTTTTAAGTTTTTATGGTTTTTAACTTATTGGCATTAAATTATTCATAACTCTCCCTTATTTTAAAACTGTATTTATCTGGTTGTGCCAGGTCTTAGCTCATTGTGGCAAGCGAGATATTTTCAGCTGTGTCATGTGGGATCTAATTCCCTGACCAGAGATTGCACCCAGGCCTCCTGCGTTGGGAGTGTGGAGTCTTAGCCACTGGACTGCCAGGAAGTCCCAACTTTTGCTTATCAGTCTTTTAATAATTGTGAAATCTGTATGATGTCACCTCATAGTATTGGTAATGTTTTAATTTTTATTTTTATACTGCTCAGTTTTGCTAGAGGCTTACCAATTTTATTCATACTTTAACTGGTTTTTCTCTCTTGTTTTTCTGTTTTCTATTCCTATTTCTACCACTCTTCTGATCTATAATTTCCTTCTCATCTGCTTACTCTTGGTTTAATTTGTACTTTTTTTTTTTAAGTTTTTCAAGGTAGACACTGAAGACATCAATTTGACAACTTTTTTAAAAACACCTAGGCCTTTAGTGCTATAAATTGCTCTTTACTGTTAGTGGCATCTCACAAATTTAGAATGTTGAGTTATTGTTTTCATTCATTCATATTTTCTAATTTACTTTTTGATCCATGAGTTAATTATAAAAGTGTTATTTAGTTTTCAAAAATTGGGGAATTTTCCCAGTATGTTTCCATCATTGGTTTCCAATTTAATTTCACTTTGGTGAGAGAACCTACTTTTAACGTGAATCCTTTTAAATTTATTAACTTATTTTATGCACCAATATATTGTCTGACTTGGTAAATGGTCTGTGTGCATTTGAAAAAATGAATATTCTACTCTTTGGGGGCATTCTTTAAATATCAGTTAGATCAAGTTGGTTTTCTTCTACATCTTTGCAATTAATCTTCTACATTTTTACTTACATATTCAAGTCTTTTACATTGTCAGTGATTTTATCTTCTCTTGTTGTACTAATTATTCAGAAGGAGGTTTGAAATCTCTCAGCCCGGTGAGAGCTCTGGGCACTCTTCCCTCCAATCCCTTTAGGTGGCTCTTTCTTTGGACTTTGGGAGTTTCCTCATACACATACACTGATCAATATTGAACCAAAAATTTAGGTGGGGACCCTCTCCTGAGCTCTGGAACTTTCTCCTTTTTTCCCCTTTATTGTTTTTTAAATTGAAGTATAACTGATTTACAGTGATTCAGGAATACAGCAAAGTGATATATGCATATATATTTTTTCTTTTTCAGATATTTCCATTACAGATTATTACAAGATATGGAATCCCTATGCAGATGGTCCTTGTTGTTTATTTTATGTTTGGTCGTGTGTACCCATTAGTCCCCAGTTCCTAGTTCACCCCTCCCCCCTCTTCCCCTTTGGTAACCAAGAGTTTGTTTTCTCTGTGAAGCTATTCCTGTTTTGTCAATAAGTTCATTTGTGTCTTTTTTTTTTAGGTTCCACATGTAAGTGATAGATTTGTCTTTGTCTGACTTCACTTAGTATGGTCATCTCCAGGTCCGTCTGTGTTGTTGCACACGGCGTCGTTTCATTCTTTTTTATGGCTGGAACTCTCTCTGTTTGAGATCTCTGTTCTCCAGTACTCTGCCCTTTGAACTCCGGCTGCTCTGACTACCAGGACTTTCAGCTCTTTCAACTCAAAATTCAGCCTCTTTTTCTTTTCTTTGGCCTTGTGGGCTAGAAACTCTCCTTGTAGTAAGCTGGGGAAATCGTAAGCTCTGCCTTATTTTATTCTCTCTCAGGAATCACTGTGCATCATTAAGTATGCCTGATGTTTTCAAAACCACTGTTTCATATGTTTTGTACAATTTTATAACTATTTCAGGCCAGAGGATAAATCCAGTCTCTGTTACTCTGGACTGGAGCAGAAATCCTAACATCAGCTCTTGACTTCATGACTTCTCCCACTCTCTGTCCAATGGCTATTTTTTCTTTATTTTTTTTAAAAAAACACAAAACTATCTCTTAAATTTTAAAGTGGGATTCCGTCACCTCCTAGCTTAACAGTCTTCAGTGGCCCACAATGCTCCAGAATAGAGCACAGCTCACACAGCCCTGCACGGTATGTTTCATGCTCCCCTCTTCAGCTTTATGAAAGTCGCTCAGTCGTATCCGACTCTTTGCGACCCCATGGACTATACAGTCCAAGGAATTCTCTAGGCCAGAATACTGGAGTGGGTAGCCTTTCCCTTCTCCAGGGGATCTTCCCAACCCAGGGATGGAACCCAGGTCTCTCGCACTGTAGGTGGATTCTTTACTAGCTGAGCCACAACTCCTCCTCTTGCTCTTTGACCTCTAGCTTTATTACTCTGGTCTCTGGTGCCTCAGGGCCTTTGCATATGCATATGCTATTTCTTCTGCCTGAAATTCTCTTCCCATATCTCTGCCATCTCTAGTTGGATAACTCTCACATCCTCCTCAAAGAAGCCCTCCACGACTTC